TCTCTCTCTCTCTCTCTCTCTCTCTCTCTCTCTCTCTCTCTCACACACACACACACACACACACACACACACACACACCCTTAAAGAACATGTGGACCTCTGTACCTCTATCCCTGGAGATAAAGTACTCAGAATTTCTGGCACAGCCCCAGCCTGTATTAAAAACATCTGTTTTCATGACTAACACCATCCAAGTCCCAGCGAATTATCTTTCAACATTTCTTACCTTTATACTCTCTAAATGCCACTATTGGTTATCTCAACGCCATTATTAGAGATGGAGTTGTGTCTTGCTTCAGACTTCAAGAAAGATTTGAGTGATGAAAGAACTTAGGTAAGAAATTCTCTCAGCTACAATGAAATAGATTATTGCATTTCAGAATATAATTTATTCAATAGGTGACTATTGTTATGTTCCTCATTTTTATTTTTATTCCAATTGTGGATCTGTAGATACTTATGAATTAGCACATATCCCCAAGGGAACATTTTACAATACTAAACAAGTCATGTTACTTTTAAATTCTATACATATAAATATAGATATAATGTGTAATGAACTCTGATACTATTTTTGGAAAGACAACTAAATGAACATTGAATGTTAGGAACACAAATAGTTTTAATGAAGATATTTCATAATATCTAATTGATATTTCTTTTTTCTTTGGAGAGAGAGAGAGAGAGAGAGAGAGAAAGAGAATTTTTTTAATATTTATTTTTTAGTTTTCGGCAGACACGACATCTTTGTTTGTATGTGGTGCTGAGGATCGAACCTGGGCATGCCAGGCGAGCGTGCTACCACTTGAGCCACATCCCCAACACCTCTAATTGATATTTCTAAAACTTCATAAAACATCAATTTTATTTAAACAGATTTCACTTCAAATTTTGACAGCAAATCTAATCCTCAAAGATAATTTTGAACATTGCAAAGAAAATAATTTTTGAAAATATATGAAACATAATTTATATTTTTGTTTTATATTTATCTTAATTAATATTTTGATAGAGATGCATAAAATAATTAGACTTTAAAAATAAGTATGTTTGTGGGGGCTGGAGATATAGCTCAGTTGGTACAGTACTTGCCTCACATGCACAAGGCCCTGGGTTCAATCCCCAGCACCACACACACACACACACACACACACACACACACACAAAAAAAAAAAATATATATATATATATATATATATATGTGTGTGCGTGTGTGTGTGTAATAAGAATTGTAATGCGTTCCACTGCTGTCGTGTATTTAAAAAAATAATAAAATCAATAAAAAATAATTAGTAATTTTACTTAGATGAAAGCAAACAATATAATTTTGAGTAATTATATAATGTTTTATGAAAAATGCATGTGTTTATTTTATTATTTGCCCAAACATCACCAGCCCTGGGTATATACAATCAAAATTAAAATGTATCCTCTTTGATATTTTGTGGGCTTTTAGTCAGAGGAAAATACTAGTCTTCCCTAAGTTGTTTTGTCATTATGATATAGGACATTTAGGTCCTATGTTTTTCAAGGTAGAATGATAGAAGATACACAACATCTATCATTCCTCTGCAGATGGTAATATCTGTTGTCTACTTTATAGTACTTCTCAGGGATCTACTATCCCTTAAGTGTCATATATACAAGATCATCCATCCTACATACTCCCCAAGGGGCAGCCCCTTGCCCCACCCCAGTGCTCATTAAGATGGTTTAGGATGTAGATATAAATGGGTATTTTACTGAAGAGTGGGATAGCTCTCTCAGATCACTGTAGTGCAGAAGGAAAAGAGTTTATGCCTTCATCCAACTCATCTTCCCTAGGGCCACAAAAAATGAGAGAGGCCTGATGAACATTCTTATTAACCTCACCTCTATCTATCACCTCTATCTTTTCATATTGTCTCATTCCAGAATTCCCCAGGAAACTTGAACCTTTTCCATATCAAGAAAGTGTTACATGCCTCAGACCTTTCTTGTCTCTTACCTTCCCCAGTATCTCAGCTTTAGAGAAGACATATGTTTCTGGTTCTGTGAAATGAATGACAGAAGCAGATGTCCCCATCCTCATCCGCTCCATGGAGCATCCTGCCAGTGAGAACTTCACAACTTACCTAAAAGGGAAGTTTCTCTCACAAGAAAAAACATTAATGTTTTGACCACCACACCCCCTCTTAAGAAAAAGGACAAGTATTTTAGGATAAAAACAAAATTTAGTTCCTTGACACCTGGAAGTCTTTTTTCCTTGATAACTATTGAGTAGTTCTAGTACCTGTTAATGCACAAATATCAACATCCTTTATGGAATTAAAGTAGTTTTTTTTTTCCATTCCCATTCCATGTTCTGCATTAATATAGTAACCATATGACCAAATACTTATTTTCCTAGTACAATAATTAAAACTACCTTCTTCTTGGAGCCTTGGGGAACCAGAAAGTATCAAAGTGATATAGAACAGAAAAGATGAAGCTGGGGCAAAGGCCCAATAAAACTATTTGTAAACTCCTATGTTCACCCTCAACCTGTGCACATATAGATCTGATGTTAAATACCATGTGCACCTGTATGGTGCACATGAGTGACGTTTCCAAATAGCCAGTAAAGCCTTCAACAACTGAAATGACATTGGCACCACAGCCCAGAGAATGTAGGTTGAAAAGTGCCCCCTGATTCTAACCAGGTGAAGTATATCTTATCACAAAGATATCTTAACCAGTTCCATTACCTGCTAATGCACAAATATCAACATCCTTTATGGAACTGAAGTAAGATCCAGAGTCACATAATATAATATTTTAAATGTCCAAGAAATACGAAATGGTGGTATAACTCAGTAGTAGAGTGCTTGCCTAGCAAGAACTAGTAACTATATTCAAATCCCTCTACTGTAAAAAGAAAAAAAAAGTACAGGAAATAATTCAAATTACTCAACATACATATTAAGAAACCCTAAAATATTATTATTATTATTATTATTATTATTATTATTATTTATCATCATCATCACCATTAGATATTTATGGTTATACATACTAGTTGGAAGAACCCCCCCAAAATTTTAACTCACATGGCATAAGATGATAAGCATATGCTAACAATGAGATTTCATAGATAGTGGAATATTCTGAAATAGAATATGAAAGAGTTAAAATTATAAATTCCTAGAAAGAATAATCATGAATACTCTTTTTTTTTGGGGGGGAGTACCAGGAATTGAACTTAGGGGCACTTAACTACTGAACCTCCTCCCCAGCCGCTTTTATTTATTTACTTATTTTGAGACAATTTCTCACTAAGTTTCTTAGGGCCTTGCTAAGTTACTGAGGCTGGGTTTTAACCTGCAATTCTCCTGCCTCAGCTTCCTGAGCCATTGGGATTACAGGTGTGATCATGAATGCTCTTGAAACACAAGTTAAATTTTAAAATACAGCAGAGAACTAGAACATATAAAGAAGAACCAATAGGTATTTTAGAATTTAAAAATACAATGACAGAAGTAAAAATAAAAACCTCATGTGATATACTCTATAGCAGAATGGAGATGACAAAGGTAAGAGTTAGTAAATGTGAAGATAGGTCAATAGAAATTGTCAAGTCTGAAAAACAAAGCAACAACGACAAAGATTATCTATAAGACTACAACAAATTGTCTCATATTTATGTCTTTCGAGTCCTAGAAGGAAAATAGAAAGAGTTTGGGATTGAAAAAATGGTTGAAGAAATATGGCTGAGAACTTTCCAAGTGCTACAAAAGACCTACAAATTCAAGAAACTACATGAGCCTCAAACAGAAACAACCAGAAAAATTAAAGATTTTTTTTAAAAATCTCTCAAAGCAGCCAGAGAAAAATGATGCATTACCTATAGGTGAAGAATGATTAAATAGCAATGGATTTGTCATGATGATTAGAGAAAAGGAATAGAATATTTTTAAATGACTGAAAAAAATGAACTGTTGATTCATAATTCTATATCCAGAAAAATATCCTTCAAGAATAAATGTTTTAATATGTTTATATTGAAAATAATTTAACCAGGTCTGATGAAAATTTCAATGTATGTAAAAGTAATATATAAGACAATCATAAAATGCAGATAAGGGTAGGGATAATGGGATCTATATGGTGGTAAGGTATATACATTCCAGTTGAAGTGGTAAATATTTTCTCTAAATAGATCATTAGAAGTATTTTGTAATCTCTACAATAGACAATAGAAAGTACATAGAGATATAGCTAATCATAATAGATACTTAAAATAACCCAAAACAAACTTGGAAAGAAGAAACAGAGACAGAAAAAAAAGAGGAGAAAAAACAAATAACAAAATCTTAAATCTGTGTCACTAAGTATAAAGCATTTAAATATTCTAACATACCATTTAAAAAGTTAAGATTGTCATATAGATAAAAATTCCTGGTTCAGCTTTATACTGTGATGAAAGTTGTTTCAAATATAATGATATAGATGAGTTAAAACTAAAAAGATAGTAAAACAAATCAAGACAGAGTATATTAATATCAGAAAAATAGGGGTGGGGATATGGCTCAGTGGTAGAGCACTTTCCTGGCACACATAAGGCCCTGTGTTCAATCCCCAGCACTGAAAAAAAGAGAAAAAAAAATAGACTTCAGAGAAGATAAATTTACCAAGAGTAAAGATGGACAATATACATTGATAAAAGGATCAATTTGCCAAGAAGATATAACAATTTTAAATGTTTATGGATCAAACAAAGCAAAAACTGACAGAATAGAAAAGAAAAATAGGCAAATTTGGTATTAGAGACTTTAACATTCATCACATAGTAATAGAACTAGCAGACAGAAAATTAGTAATGATATGCAAAGACTGACCAAATCTTCAACCAACTAAATCGAATCAACATTTTATCAAACCTCTATTCCAATGACAGCAAAAAAACACATTCTTTACAAGTGCATGTGGAATACTTAATGTAGATCAGCTCTAGGGTCATAATAATGCCTAGAAAATGAAAAGAATGAAGATCATCTGAAGGATGTTCCATGATCATGATGGATTTGAACTAGAAATTAGTAACATCAAAAATGGGAAATCTCTAAGCATTTAGAAATTAAACAACACACCTTATCATGGATCTGAAAGGAAGTTTCAAGTAAAACTAGAATACCATTTTGAGCCAAACAAAAATGAAAATACAATCAATATTTGTGGAATGCTGCCGGGCATGGTGGCACACACCTGTAATCCCAACAACTCAGGAGGCTGAGACAAGAGGATTGCAGATTAGAGGCCAGCCTCATCTACCTACCAAGGCCCTAAGCAACTTAGTGAGAACCTGTCTCAAAATAAAATAAGGGGTGGGAGGCTGGGGATGTAGCTGAGTGGTAAAGCACCCAGGGTTTAATCTCCAATACCAAAAAAAAAAAAAAAAAAAAAAAAAAAGTATGGAATACAGGTAAATCAATGCTTGGAAGAAAATTTATAGCATCAATCCTTTACATTAGAAAAGAAGAGCTTCTCAAATGGATAAGTTTCCATCTTAAGAAATTAGACAAGGAAGAGAAACATAAACCAAGTAAGCAGAAGGATGGCGGTAACAGAAGAGCAGTGTCAATAAAACTGAAAATAAAATCAATAGAAAAATCAATGAAAACAAGATGTGGCTTTTGGAAAAAATCAAAATAAATTACTAGAAAGTCTGACAAAGAAAAAATAAAGAGAAGACACAAAATTACATATATTGGAATGAAGAGGAACTATCTCTAAAGACCCTGTAAACTAGAAAAAAATAATTAGACAGTATTATTAACAACTCTATGTACATAAATTCAATAACTTAGATAAAATAGACAAAATCTTTGAAAACTATAAACTTCTAAAACTCATCCAATGTGAACTAGAGAATTTGAGTTTTCCTATAACTATTAAATAAATCTAATGAAACATAAAATGACCCATATGTTAAAAACTACAAAAGATGGAGAAAGAAATCAAAGACATAAATAAATGAATAGGCATATTCAGTTCATGGACTGAAAAACTCAACATGTTAAGAATGTTAATTCTGGGCTGAGGCTGTGGATCAGTGGCAGAGCACTTGCCTGGCACATGTGAGGCCCTGGGTTTGATCCTCAGCACTACATAAAAATAAAATAAAGGTATTGTGTCCACCTACAACTAAAAAAATGTATATTAAAAAAATAATGTTAGGAGCTGAAGCTGTGGCTCATTGTTAGAGTACTTGCCTTACAAGTATGGGGCAATGAGTTGAATCCTCAGCACCACGTAAAAATAAATAAAGATATTTAAAAAAATTTTTAAAAGAATATTAATTCCCTCCAATTGCCCAATAGTTTTAAAATAATATTAACTAAAATTTCAGGAACTTTTTTTTGTAAATATGGGCAAACCAATTCTAAAATTCATATACAAGGAAAAATGAAGTAAATTAACTAAACCAATTTTTCAAAAGAAAAATGAAATGGAAGGATTGAGTCTAATCAATAATAAGGCTTGCTATAGAGCTACAGTAATCAAAGTGTGGTATTTGATTAGACACACATAGATGAATGCACAGAATACTGTCCAGCAATTAACAAATATGGCAATTCAATTTTTGAAAAAAGTGCAAAAGAAATCCAATGGAAAAAGGATAGACTTTTCAAAAAAGAAAAGATCAAGGGTTTTAGAATACATGATAATTGATATGCAAAAAATAAGCCTCAATCTATCTCACACTTATATAGGGCTTTTATCCAAATGAATCATGGTTTTAAAAATAAGAACATTATAAAATTTTTATAAGAAAGCAGAAGAACTTATTTGTGGCCTCAGTTTAGGTGAAATGTTCTTAGACATGATACTAAACAAAATCTATTAAAGAAAAAAAAACTGATGAATAGACACTGATAACAATTAAGAACTTCTGTTCTAAGCAGTAGCGCACTCACCTGGCATGCGTGCAGCCCGGATTCGATCCTCAGCTCCACATACAAACAAAGATGTTGTGTCCGCTGAAAACTAAAAAATAAATATTAAAATTCTCTCTCTCTCT